AACTACTGCCGAAGCTTCAGGTGCTATTTTTGTAGCAGCATCTTCCTCACTCGTTCAGATAAACAAGACTTGTTGGTCTACCACGTGATTGCTGTGAAGCCGATCATCCAGAAAGTGCCAGGTAAAGTCGAAAACCTTTTCTTTTCCTTGTCTTGTACTTTTTCAGTCTTATTCTTGTTCTTGTGGGTAGATACTCTTGCACTCTTATTCTTATACAGCATAAGTTTTAGCGATAGTTAATATGGCTGTAGAAAGTAACCTTAGAAATGGCACCAAAACACCTTACTCTGTAGTCACAAAGGCTTCAGCCAGAGAAGGCAAAACCGCAGGGACACCAACCCCAAGTCGCATACCGATCCTAAAGACTCGTGTAGGACTCGTCTGTCCTGATACTATGCCTGCACTGCCACAGTCTAGTCCTGAAACGGCGCAGGCAATACTAGTAGGACAGGATACTACACCTGCACCAACTGAAAGCCAATGTGTGAAGTACAACAAACCTAAAAGGAAACGCTCAAGACGTCATAAGACCTCGAAGGCGTCACCAAGGAAGGGAGACAAATGTCAGGCATCTAGTCTCATTGTTTCTAAGGCTGACACACAAGGTGAAGATTCCCAAGGTTGCACCCACAACCTCAGTGAAAGATAGAATTGTCAAAGCACCACTTGCATCCACTAGGAAGCTTGGCAACACAGCAGAGGCTGGCCAAAACCTGATGAAGCCTAAAGTTGCTGATGCTGCAAAGGAATACAAGCAGCCAAAGGCCAAACCTAAGTCTGAGGTTAGTCGGTCTGATTCTCTTATCCCTTTTAATGTACCTGTGAGCAAAGATAGCTTTCTCGAACAATGTGCCCTGTTTGATCAGGAACAGTGGTCCAACTTGTGCAATAAACTAGGTCTGAATATTAATTCAGTGAAATTGTGCAGGCTGTACAGGGGTGTCCACACACCTCGGGGTAAGCCACTCCCATTAGGGGTTGCACTGGACTCTGCCGAAGAGACCGAAAAGGTACTATTGATGGCTCAGGAACTAGCCATCGACAGAAGCTCTAACATAAGGGTGAGACAAAACAGACCGTGAGCTGTCAGACAAATGGCGAGGGAGTCACCGGAACTGATGCCCTCTACCTCTGTTGTGGTACAAGGTGTTCCAGAGTTGGAAACGGCCACTGCTTGTTAAAAACGTATGCATGACGTACAGCAATGGATATGGCTGTCATCTCAGATGGCCCTTAGCGCTTATGGAGCAATCTCCATTTTTCGACTACCTAGCCCCGCCCGTCTCACACTGTTTAGCTCCCCAAAGCTGCTAAGTGTCACATTCAACTCCCCAGAGCAGTTGGCCATAACACTTCAACGGTGGTATGAGATCAAGGGGAAAGTGGGAGGACACACCCCATGCTGCGAAAGCAGACCTCGAACCATAAGGAGGCAGCAAACGGAGGCTTTAATACGTCCCCAAGCTTCAGTGACACTCGAGCGATGCAGTTCTGAGAATAACAGTCTGTGCCACCCAAGTGTCCTGCCTAAATCCAAGGGAAAAACCACAACGGGCCGGTTCCATCGGAACTGGCCAACTAGTCCCAACACTAAGTTCCCTACCAGCAGACAGCTTCACGTCAACTACCCCACAACACGCTGGGGTTGTAAGACTCACTGTCAGCTGCCTGTATAGCAATGTGAGGGGGCTGAGAGTAAAAATAGGTGAACTCCGAAATCTCCAATCACACCTACAACTCAAAGTGATCATTCTAACTGAAACGTGGCTAACCCCCACTATCGCCGGCAACGAAATCAGTATGGGTGATATGGTTCTGGTCAGGAGAGACAGGGATAATAAGGAAGGAGGGGGAGTTGCCATATACTTTGATAGGCAACTTAAATGTGTGTGCGCAACGGACCCACCACTTATAGAACTCCCAGACTCCGTATGGTGTCATTTCGCCGTAGGCCACACGAAGCATTTACTTGGTGGCATCTACCGATCTCCCACCTGTGGGGCAGAGCACAATCAGCTACTGCTCAGCGCTGTCTCAGGGATATGAAACTTACGCTATGACCAAATCAACATAGTGGGAGGTTTCAATGGCCATCACTGAACCTTGACTCGGGGTATGCTAAGGGAAAAATCGGCCGAAATCTACTGCAAGCTATTCGGAACACGGGGTCCCTAGTGGAAAGTCACCAAAACTAGACTACATTCTAACTAGTGACCAACTACTCGTCGAAAAGGTCCAGGTCATGACTCCTCTAGGAAGTAGTGACCATGCAGCCACAGGTTTCGACCTCGTTCTCCGTGAGCATTTGCAGTGGGATGCTACGCGACCATGTCTGTGTTATAGCAAGGCTGACTATGCTGAAATGCGGAGGCTCTTGTCCGATGCAGACTGGCCCTTAGCATGGGATGAGCTGTCTGTGGATGAACACTGGGAAGCGGTAAAAAAGATTATTCATACAGCGATCTCGGATACCGTCCCTTTAGTTACAGCACAGCTCAAAGGAAAGTCATCGTGGTCGAAGAGATGCACGCAACTTATTCTGCAAGCAAAGCGGAAGGCTTGGTTTACATGGCGCGTATCTATGAGTCCGATCGAGCATGATGCATACCTGGAACTGAAGAATCGGTGGAATACGAGATTCGGGAGTGACAGAAGGTCGTTCCAGGCTAACCCAGCGAAAACTCCTGGCAAAACCCGAAAACTCGTATCGATTCATGTCGTAAGGAAAACCAACCAACCATGCGGTCACTATCTCACCATTTTGGAGATGGCTGAAACATTCAGTTTAGACTTCGCCAAACAGCTAAACAGCAATGTGGATATTACCGTTACGGACCAAAATGGTGGCATGACTATTTCACAGGAGGAAGACCTAGTGGCTACTCCCAAAATAAACCTCGCAATAGTACTAAGGAAGCTACAACGACTCATACCTGTGAAGTCCCCAGGTTGTGACGACATCAGGCCATCTGTTCTGAAACGGTGCGCTGAAGCACTCTGTAGGCCCTTATGCGACTTGTTCCAACATTCAATGGATTCAGGGAAACTGCTAGGGGAGTGGAAAAGAAGAATCCTTTCTCCGATCTTCAAGGGTGGGGATAGGCAAAATCCCACCAGTTATAGACCAGTAGCTCTACTCCCAGTGGTATCGAAAGTACTGGAAATTATTATTGACGATCACATCAGGGAGAACGTCGATAGGTCTAATATACTCCATGAAGCCCAACACGGTTTCAGGAAAGGCAGATCCTGTGTAACAAACCTGCTATCAGCTTGTGACGATTGGACATCATGCTGGGATATGAATGTTCCTGTCCATGTGATCTTTCTAGACTTTGAGAAGGCATTTGACACTGTTCACCATGACCTCCTACTACACAAAATAAGCCAGGCAGATATAGGTAAGCCACTTCTGTCATGGTTGAAGGACTACCTAGCTGAAAGGCAATTTTGCACCAAGGTCAATCGTGTCCGATCATCTTGGCACAGCTCGTCATCAGGAGTGTCTCAGGGTTCTATCCTTGGACCACTGATGTTTTTGATGTTTATCAATGACCCACCATGCCGTCTAAGCCGCCCGACGTGAAGATATGGAGGGCGATAAAGTGTCCGGAGGACTGAGACAGGCTGCAGGAAGATCTAAAGCTTCTGGAAGACTGGGTGGTGGCCAGTGGCATGACTCTCAACCTGAGAAAGTGCAAAGTAGTAAAGTACGCACATGTAAGCTGCAGAAAGAGAGTTAAAGCCTTTGCTTGTCCTACACAACTTCGGAGAGTGACTTCTAGTTCTAGTGATATCTAGTGCAAACGGAAAAAAGGAAACAAGCGTGAATTGTATGGGGGATGTTGCTAGGGCATATGCGGCTATAGGCTAAACACAAGCAGTTAGGTGCACCCACTCCTGATCTCTTTCTTAGGTTGCACAAAACATATGTCAGATGACACCTTGAAGTGTACAGTATTATTGCACCCCCACTGCTAAAAGAGACGCCAACCTCTTGGAAGGAGTCCAGTGACGGGCAACAAAAGGAATAGTTTGTCTCCGAAATAAACCATATGATGAAAGGAGAAGGAAATTAGGCTTATTGACACTTAGCTACCATCGTCTTAGGGGGAATTTAATTACTGCCTACAAAATAACAAATGATCAGAATCACCCAAACACAGGTGTTCTGCCATTGAGTAGTTATGGGCTTCCTCGTGGAAATCCCAGAAGGATAGCTCACCAGAGGGCAATTACTCGGGTGCGCTCCCACTTCTTTTCACTGCGGGTTTGCTGCCCCTGGAATTCCTTACCGGCAGATGTAGCTATGGCACCGTCTGTGGACGCCTTTAAGCGAAGGCTGGACAACCATGCAGCGACACAAGGACTGCATCCAAATGGCCTATCCCCTTAAATCCCATACACCATTCAGGGGAAGACAACTAAGTTCGTCGTTTTACTTCTTCATATTCTCTCCCGTCTTACTCTCCTGACAGCTTTAACTGCACCTATTATTATTGTCATTATTACCTACATATATGTGTGTATTATTCATATTATTCTTCACATTTAATCAGCTGACTGTTGTTATGCTTTCTTATTTCTTTTTCTGTCTGTTAGTCTGAATAAATTCACTAATTATATCTATTATTATTATTCCTTTTCTTTTGACGACGATACCGGAGGACTAAGTGGTGAAAGGATCAACTCTAATCACAGTATTAACAGTCTTAACACACTTCATACTACAAACCCCATATAATTAACCCCAGCACTACTCTTTTTGGAGTCAACCAAAGCTACGACAGTCGAGTGGCGGGACGAGCTTTGCAGAAGTTAACCGAAGATCAGGAACCTCACAATGAAGAGGCGAGCACAAAGAAATCAAATTGGTTTATACTAGCTCGTAAAACGATATTGGATAATGTCAGGATGTATTACCCCAAGTAGTCTGATGTCTGTCATTTATGACAGCAATTGAATATTGAACGTGGTGTTAGGTATTAGAAAGTGTGTGTGTACTATTTGATTTTTCCCAAGGCTGTGGCTAAGTTTCCGTTTCGAAAACGGTGGCGAAGGTAAGACTATTAATCATATCTACCAGTCATGGGCTTACGTACCTGTGGAGCGATAAGTTAATGTAGTAAGTAGACATCAGTTACCCAATGCTTTCGATGAATCCTTTAATTAACCAATCAATGAAATATTTTCCAGTGTTTTCATTGGGCATGGGCTCTGATTGTAAATCTTGAAGCTTTTTGAAGGCATGTCGATTTGTAATTAGTTATTCCTTTAGGAGCCATGATTAATGATGTTTTTCTTCGTTATCATGAACTGAGAAGGAGTCTTCTTCGCATGATGATGTCTATTAGGTTATCAATAAATCACAATTGTGTGATTATTGTTGTGGAGTTGCTGCCTAAGTAGATTCATGCTTCTTTTCTTTGTTTCGATGAGCTGGTGAAAACCAATGAACTTGCTGCAATATATTTCTAGGATTTCATATGTCATTGTAGTTCGGCCCACTGGATCTACTGATTTAGTTAAAATGTCAGCTGATTGCTGGTGAAATAACAAAAAGGAGTAAACAGTGGTCTAAATGGATCCAGAATTTAAGCTGTTAAATCATATTAGAAGAATGCTCAAGACGTTATCAATGTTTAGAAATAATTCGGATAATCATGTAATGAGTTGAAAGCTGTAATGTACAGATTGTGGGGGTTAGTGAAGAGAAAACTAACAAGAAGATATATATGGGCTCATTCCTAATCCTTTATCTTAACAGCTGTCTAGTTGCGTTTTCACAACCCGTTTTATCAGCATTATCGTTCAGTCCTCCTGTGTAGCTCCTCAGTTCTGACTCGATGATTATGTTGATCGACAATGAATTGCAAATAATATAAACCTGGAATAAGAGGTGAATAAGTACCCTGGTTTTGACTGTTTGGTGGGGTACCCTTATGAAACTCCCATGAATGGCATTCTTGTATGATGATTGTAGGACTGACATGAGTGAGTGTCCTCGATTACCAGAGATTTTATTGATGCTTTCCGGTTTGCTCATTATCTTTCTGTAGCTCAGCACTTACGTATCAAGCTCATATAGCCCCTTGGACAGCTGTAATAGCAAGACGACAACATAAACATCAATATTAGGTCACTCATAAGCTTCATAGGGTTCAGGGTTGAGCTCAATGGGAAATTGTGTAGCTTAATCTGTTTGATAAATCGTCAATGAATTATTTGGGTGTCAGTTGTCCGAAAATGACTCATTATGACACTTTGGAAGGTGACTATCCACATTAAGTAGTCAATACTGTGGGTAAAACGTTTCCCTTCACGTAACTTGTGAGCCACAAAAGAAGGAGATTGTACATATGCATAGGGATTTGTTTGAGAGGAGGGTTTTGTACACTACGATGTTGAAGGATTTAAGGAAATGTCTGACGATTTGTGGGTTATAACATATAAGTTCTGCTAGGCCGTTGATTTTTCTCACGCTGACAACAAGTCTGAAGCACAAAACTGATCTATTCTGAAGTTGTAGGCGGCTACTTGGAGCGCAATATTGCCAGTATTGTAACTTTCTGTTATTGCCAGTAGAGTTGGAAGTTGATACATTTCTGTAAAGGTGTGATAATGACAAGTGAGAGAATAATTTTTTTAAGCTGTTTTAGAGGGTACTGTCTTCCCATTTATTTTTGGTGTATATTACACAGTGTCAGAGAGGACTTTGTATATTGTTTCTTAATATCTCTTAGTTTTATCACTGTTTACCACGAAGGTGTATCTTCATTTTGAAGTTAGTACTGGTGATTTTGTCTAGAAAGATAGAGAAGGCATTGAAGTTATACAGATTTCATGTGAACTTTACTAGAAGCCGTTTTAACCTTATGGCACTCAAAATTGTTTGAGAAATCTAATAATTCTAAGGTCACATTCTGAAAAACTTGGTTCATTACTTTTGCTAAAAAGTTTCGGTGTCTTCTTATTATGTACATTTTCAAAATAACTTGCTTGATAATGAGTTGTTAGAAAAGGGTTTATTTATCATATCGTTACGGTTGTAGGGGTATTTTCCAGTTTAGGTTGTGCTTGATCTTATGGGGTAGTTTGTTAGATTGCAAGTTGTTGTATTGTGGCGAGTGCTACTGATAAGACTTATCAGTAGTATATAATGAGACGTTTATCGGCATAAAAAAAGTAAATAGTGGGGAGATAAATTCGATTTCACACAAGGCAAATATTACAGCGTTGTTAAGATATATGGGAGACATGAAAGAAACACAAAGAAACACAGTATAAAGTCCAGAAGTAGCACAACACAAAGATCTGTGGAAATGGTGCGTTGAAGATAAGGCATACATAATTTGGCTATATAGAGATGCCGATTTCCTATTATATATATATTCCTTTACCAAGTCTTCGCCTTCTATCATTTCATTATGGCTCTCTTTTCAGTTTTTGCACTGTTAGCTGTCACATTTTACAAAATGTAAGAATGTCGTAGATTTTCAATGGTTGTCTAACTGATATCAGTCCGTGATCAACTAGTAAAACATAACAAACCCTTACAAACCAAACTATAGGAAATGTTGTAGATAGCAATCAGAAATATTCGTCTCAGTATTACTTGATTTTCACTTGTGTCTGCGTTCTATCTCCCTCGTGAAGTGGTATATATATAGAGGTGAGCAATATTGAGGTTAGGCGTCGAGTGCAGGGAAATCAGTCGACGAGGCTGTAAAGTTACATCGACTGAGATGGTTAGGACATGTGTTGCGTATGCATAGTCATCGCTTTCCTCGACAGACGGACAATGTTAGCTGATATAGGGCCAGGCTGGAAAAGAACTAGCGGCGGTCAAACGAAAACATGGCACCAGTCAATGAAATCTACAACAGTTAGTCTAAGCCGGCCATGTAGGAAGGTGTAGACTTCCTGACTGGTTGGGGTCCTCGGGACGGTAAAATCCAATGGTTGGTGAGTCGGTGGCACAGTGGTTAGGACTCTCGCCGACCATGCACATGGTCCGGGGTTCGATCCCCTGCCGGCGCACACCCGATATCTGTGGTCGGCCTGAATTTGGGCTACCGATGTCCATGCTGAAAATTCCATACTTGTACTGAAAATACGGTGTGGCATCAAGCTGTAAATCAAAAAAAAAAAATTGGCGACGTGGTCCAAAATCGTTCTCAATGGCTAGCGCAGATGCATCGACACCTTGTGACTTATGATTTCCAATGAAACTGTTTTGTTCTTCGTTATTACTATTCCTTTGCCTCACACCTCTGTTTACTGTCGGTGGCACAGTGGTTAGGACTCTCGCTGACCATGCGCATGGTCCGGGGTTCGATCCCCTGCCGGCGCACACCCGATATCTATGGTCGGCCTGAATTTGGGCTACCGATATCCATGCTGAAAATTCCACACTTGTACTGAAAATACGGTGTGGAATCAAGCTGTAAATCAAAGTCAAAGTAAAATAAAATATTATGCATTTCTCCTACTTTCTTCTCTTTCTTTGTGTGCTACATGGAGGGAGTGTGGCGACTTGAACTGCCTTACATATGTGCAAAGTTCTGTGTCGAAAACCGACCGACCAACCGACTTATTGCAGATAATATTATAGTCAGACATTATCGTACATCGTGCTGGAATTCACGCAATGCTTTTTTTCTTATTTTCTATAGTTTATTCACTTATTGAAGTGGGAAAAACCAGAATCAGTCAATTTTTTGCTGTCTACTTGTTGATCGTATCATCATTATGTTTAGTGTTATGTGTATTTTGTTGTCAACATTTGCTGGCGTTTATTCAGTACCTGAGCATAAATTAAAGATACCTAATAGTGAAAATGTTATTGATCCGTGTAATCCAAACAAATATGTCAAGTCAATTGGTCATTTCAATGGTGAAGGTGGTGGACCTCTCAATCCATTTGGTTCAGATTTTGAAAAGAAACGAGTTAAGTTTTAATCACTTTCATTAAAACGGTAGTGAATACATTTCACTATATTTTACTATTATTAGTTAGGTATAGCATCATTTGTTCTCATTTTAACTTTTGGTTTCCTTATTGACTGATGGGAATGAAATGTTCGGCCTGTGTTGGCTCCTAGTTCTGGGGATTAATTTCAAGTGGTTTTGGCGGGTGGTGACTAGCACTGGAATCGAGGGTGTGCATACGTCCAGTTGGGGACTTGTCAGCTGGATGTACCTGCATTCCCATTGGGTGGTGGTGGTGTTCTCACTGTGACTGGAACCCAGCGCCCACTGTTTCAAACACCAAGGCGACGTCCACACGGCTAATTGGGGCATTAGAGCCATCTCCTTGGCAACAGGCATCAGTTATTGTTTATTTTCGACTGAATTTTGAGTTTCCTGTCGACTGGTTAGACCGAAATGTTCGGTTCTGAATGTCTGACTTTAAATAAAAAGAAATATTAATAACTTCGTTTTTCATTTTCAGAAAGTTAAACCTTTTATTATTGTCATTTTATGCCTAAATGTACTTCTAGTGATACTGGCGATTGAGTGATGCTCATGTTTATGGTTTAATTAACATTTAATTGTTTGTCACATGAACTGCAGTTATCTGAACTGTGAACTGTTGTTAAATGGTTGGAGGCAATCGGTAGAAAATCTTGGATTTAGATTCTGTGTTCGCTGGGACTCATCAGTCAGCACGGAGTATCTGCAGTCTTGAGGCAACTGATGTCTTTTCTGAGATTCGAACTCGAGTCACTCAGCGCTGTGATCATTGACGTTACTACTGAGGTATTTGGCCTTGAAATTAATCTTCTGTAGGCCCGTAATGGATACTTTGATTGGACACTATGTGGTAACTGTTGCCATGCGTCTTGTCCATAATGTTGCTGCAGACTGACTTTCATCAGTTAGTTACTTCAGGAGGTCAGTCAGGAGCCCAGATGGTTCAGTCTTAAAGTCTCTGACTGTATCCCACTGGGTGACCCCAGTTCGAGATTCAGGAGGGACTTGAATTTCTTCAAGATCATACTTACGCCTTGTTGGCTGATGAGTGCCATCCAACAAGCACGAAACCTAGGTCTACTAGGCCTACTGATGATTGCCTAGATGCATCTAGTAACAACAATTCTGAGTGCATCTTGATGGCGAGCCAACTAGCATGGTGGTTATTTTGGAAACTGGACTGATATAACCCTGTCAGCATCAAACGAGGAATCAGATTATTATTATTATTGTTCCCTTGGGCTTCAACTGCACGCCTCCACTTGCTTCTGTCTTCTGCTGTACTTTTCACCTGCATCCATGTTAATCCATACTGTTTCAACTCCTCCTCACACGATCTCCTCCATGTCACCCTTGCACTGACGTCCGTCTCGCCGCTTCGCTTTTGGGTTCCACTCGAGCGTTGGCCTGACGCGCGATGTCACCCCAGCGGCCTCCTCAGCCACGAGTGTCCAATCCATCTCCACATTCTCCTGCATATTTGTTAGGTGATTGGTTCTTGTTCTGTTTGTTCCCATAGTTTCTTGTTGGTGATTCTTTCGGGCGGCCATCTGATCTTTAGTATAGAACTAAGACGAGGAATCAGAAGTATCACATTAATTACTACCTAGTGTCTAATCAAAGTAGTCTAACTATTTCGTGTGTGTGTATGAGCATCTATTGTGATCACATAGTAAGCGCTACATCTTCTTGTAATCACTGAGTGTGACTAAGTTAGTTTTCCTAATCCTAATCCTAGCATGAATCAAACTTCATCGAACTCATCATATTAGAAGTTGTTATCCTATTGACTAAGTATGACTAAGTATTTCCATCAACATATTTTTTTCCTGATAAACCTAATTTGTTCAACGTACAGACTTGTACACTACTGAATGATTAAGAAGTTTAGTCGTAGACCAATCATGTTAAACAGTGAGTGGTGCTTGCAAACCAAATTGAAATGTTAGAGAATTTCATCATGATCTGACATCGGTTAGAGAACCACTGGAAAACCTGGGAGTACTGGACAGCTGTTTCGTCCTAGTTTGGGACTCCTCATCAGTACACACCCATCGGGGTTCGAACCCAGGAGCCTCTGGTTACAAGGCGAGCTCGTAGACCATTGAGCTACTGGGACTGGATCCAATGGTTCTTGAATTCTAACTTCTACCAATTCACGACATAGCGCGACCATTTGGCAATGTCTTCTGCGATGAGTTACTGCCTCATCTTTGACCTGCTGTACCCTGGGTTCCAACCCCGGTGGATGCGTACTGATGAGGAGCCCCAAACTGGGACGAAACAGCTGTCCAGTACTCCCAGGTTTTCCAGTGGTTCTCTAACTGATGTCAGCTCGTGATGAAATCCTCCAACCAATCAAACAAAAAATCCCTACAAAACCAATACTTCAAATTGAAATGATCCAAACATCGCTGGATGACTGTTCCGCTTGTTAGAGACCGAGGGCATCATTAGTGTTTCCGGTTTAACTCTACTGAGAAAGGCTGAATCAGTTTAAACCGAACGATTTCTAGTTAGTTTTATACATTTGTGCTGGGTTTCTTGATTACCAATTAGAGTATCATGCAGACCATATACTGTGTTATCTGAATAATCTTGATTTCCATAAAAAACTGTGGCAAAATTTCATCTCCTCGAACAGTGTAAATTACAATCTAATCAGAGAATTGAGAATTTGATCTCCTTCTCTGTTTTTACGAGTTTGACCATGGATTGATATCAGTTAGAGAACCATTGAAAACCAGCCACAGGGAGTACTGGACAGCTGTTTCATCCTAGTCTGGGAATCATCCCCAGTACGCACCCACCACCAGGTTACGAACCCATGACCTTCCAGTTAAAGGCAAGCTGACACGTATACCATTTAGCCACTGGGACCCGACTCCTCAATGGCCAGCCCATGAATTCTAACTTCTAGCAATCCGGCCTTGTAACCGGAAAGTCCTGAGTTCGACTCCTGGCAGTGGGTGCGTACTGCCGATGATTCCCAAACTAGGCTTATGAAACAGCTGTCCAGTACTCCTTGTGGCTGGTTTTCAATGGTTCTCTTACTGATATCCATCCATGATCAACTCGTAAAAACACAACTTCTTCTTCTTCTTCTCTTTTTTGTATTTCTTTTAATTTCTTTTCGTTGTTTTGTTGTTTTGCATATATAAAAGTCATGGGATATGATATGTCAATTAGATAGTGATGGTGATGGATTTACTAATGGTCAAGAGTTAGGAGATCCTAAATGTCAATGGAAAATAGGCGATATACCTGAAAGAACAATAAATATTACTCATCCTGGTGTATGTACTCCTGTTGATTCTCAAGTGTGTAAGAGTTTAAATATTTGTAAAGTAAGTTTACAGTATATAAATGTACATATATATATATATACATATATATATTTATCATTTGGTCAATTTGTAACAACAAAAGACAAGGGCCAGGCAACAGATCGTTTATTAAGGAAAATCAACACATATTTATAGATTTTAATGTACATTATTGTAGATTATTGTTAGTAGAAAATGCAGTCTTTTGATTGGTTGTTTCTCACAGAAAGTTAACCTTGCATCTCTTTGTGGCTGGCTGTGTCAGATCATCCATATGCTAACTGTATCCGCCTACGCAAAGCCTTTGTTCTCATCATTTTCTCACCATCAATATTGGGGACATAAACATTGACGTCAATTACTGTCTACCAACTTTGGCTAGCAGCCAGCTCTCATCACAAATTGTCTATTAAACAGTTAATTGATAGTCTCTATTTTGATTATGGAGTGATACTTTTCCATCCATGAAAGAAAATCCAAGCTGAAAGACATCCAAAAAATATTGAGGTAAAAGTAGGTGAAAGAAGTAAGTCAGCCATTGAGATTCTAAAGCATCTTTGACAAAGGTGACGGCAACACTATGAACCAGGATCACGTCTCCCGTGATCCTGAGGGGTTCGATTGCCTGCCGATGCAGTCCTACAAATCTTGCTTAACCGCCCGACAGTAAGTCCGGTGAAGAGGGAAGGTTCGGTGGTGTGAAGCTAGCAACCTCCCGAGTAAACTTCATAGCTACTGAAACACTTCAAAGATGCTCGAATTCGTATATTCACTCCGCTTGGAGCGCAAAGGAATAAAATAAAAAATGGAAGATTTCAACAGTGTTGTCTGAAGTGTGACTAAACTGAAGAAAAGTTAGCGGTGATAAGTTTAAGTAACTGTATCAGTCTATCAAGACTTTGACTGTATATTGGGGTTTGCGTTATTTTAGTCAGTGTAAAGATCACTTAAAGATCATTAGTAAGGTGGATTCAACTCATTCATAATGGTGATAAAGTTTTCTATAGTTTGGTTTGCAAGGGTTAGTTATGTTTTCACGAGTTGATCACGGATTGATATCAGTTAGAGAACCATTGAAAACCAGCCACAGGGAGTAATGGACAGCTACTGTTTCATCCTAGTTTGGGAATCATCGGCAGTAGAAGTTAGAATTCATGAGCCATTGAATCGGGTCCCAGTGGCTGAATGGTATACGAGCTTGCCTTGTAACCGGAAGGTCCTGGGTTCGAATCCCAGTGAGTGCGTACTGCCGATGATTCCCAAACTAGGATGAAACAGCAGCTGTCCAGTACTCCCTATGGCTGGTTTTCAATGGTTCTCTAACTGATATCAATCCGTGATCGATTCGTGATAAACTTTTCATTTCTCATCTCCACTAAACTCTCAAACATTTCCATGAATACTAACTGACTGACTGACTGAAGTTTCAACATAGACGTTTACGCAGAAAGCGAACAGCTCAAGTTACCAGTTGTCATATAGCTTACAAACGTAAACAAAAGGGATGACAAATTAGATTTAATAATAATAATAACAATAAGCAAAAGTGTGAGGTAGAAGGAGGGGAATATTGAAAACCATCACAGACAGTGAATGCATCTACGCCACTGAAGTGGTATAGTAAGGTGAGCAATACTGAAGTTAGGAGTGGGTCGAGTGCTAGGTAAGGAGGGGAAATCAGTCGACGAAACTGTGAAATTACATCGACTGAGATGGTTAGGACATGTGTTACGTATGCCTAGTCATCGCCTTCCTCAACGGGCTGGAAAAGAGCTAGCGGCGGTCAAACGAAAACATGGAACCAGTCAATGAAATCTACAACAGTTAGTCTAAGCCGGCCACGTAGGAAGGTGTAGACTTCTTGACTGGTTGGGGTCCTCGGGACGGTAAAATCCAATGGTTGGAAACAATTGGTGACATGGCTCAAACTCATCGTTCTCAATGGCTGGCTGGCGCAGATGCATCCACTCCTTGTGACTTATGACTTCCAATTAAACTGTTTTGTTCTCCGTTATTACTATTCCTTTGTCTCACACCTCTGTTTACTGTCTATATTATGCATTTCTCCTACTTTCTTCTCTTGCTTTGTGTGCTACATGGAGGGAGTGTGGCGACTTGAACTGCCGCACATCGGTGCAAAGTTCTATGTCGAAAACAGACAGAGACAGACAGACAGACAACGATTTTGAGCTATATCACCAATAGTTTTCGACCATCAGTTCCTAGCATCCCAAAGATCCCCCACTGAAGCAGTCTTTTTTTCCTTCACGTTCCCCAGTGGAACATAGGGCTTCAACCTAGTGACTTGAAGTTTCTGTAGCAGTGTTTATTTTATTTTACAGTATGGGGTTGCTAGCCTCATGCCCAACCTTTCCTCTTCACCAGCATTATTTCTGGCTTAGCGAGGTAAAGGAGTGGGTCGTCCGGGCATCGAACCGCGGATCATGTGCATGGTCGATGAGCGTCCTAACCGCTATGCCACCGACGCACGTGAGGCAGTCTACACCTCCTTAAATGGCTGGCTGAAACCAACTGACAATGATTTTATAGACTGATTTCCAGGTTTTTGCTTTGGTCACTTCTAACCCCTTTTCACTGTAATCCGTGACGGCCACTATGACTTTAGATGAGGAATAGCGATGGCTTGGCATTCACAACATATGTCTTAGCTATTGTAGTCGATGTAGTTTCACAACCGCATCGATAGACTTACTCTCCTTACCTGAGACTAGGCCCTATCTGAGTATTACTCACTATGTGGTGAGAGCTGGCTGCTAGCCAAAGTTAGTAGACAGTAATTGACGTCAATGTTTATGTCCCCAATATTGATGGTGAGAAAATGATGAGAACAAAGGCTTTGCGTAGGCGGATACAGTTAGCATATGGATAATCTGACACAGCCAGCCACAAAGAGATGCAAGGTTAACTTTCTGTGAGAAACAACCAATCAAAAGACTATATTTTCTACTAACAATAATCTACAATAATGTACATTAAAATCTATAAGTATGCGTTGATTTTCCTTAATAAACGATCTGTTGCCCGGCCCTTGTCTTCTGTTGTTACAACTATATTACGCCATTTAACACGTGAGACGAAACACAAACATCTGTTGGTCAAACACAGCTAGCGCTTATATATCTTCCGCAATTGAATGGTCATATCTCACAGCCATAATATTCATATCACTTACACTGAAACCCAGACAAAAGCTCTATTTGATTAGAGAAAACTTGCAAAATTCATCAATGAAAAGAGTAAATCTGAATAGACTGAAATGAAATTAATAAAACTGGTAGAAAGATTCTTTTAATTAGCGTCTAGCTATTCGGATGCTTGAAACTCTTAGGACGACGAAATATTCTCTGCCACTTTAAGCCTGTTCTTAATATGTCAGCATCACCTTAGTATCCACTTTGTCCAGTGGTTGGTTAAACTTCTGCAAAGAATATGAAGGTTTATCATTGTCTTCGTATTTTTTTTTCCAGTTTTATCAATCACACTGATAGATAGTGCTAATTACTTCAGTATACTCATATTCTCCCTATATGCATTGTGGTCAACGGACAACACATTGACTAGATTTCGTATGAATCTGTTGATTCTAACGGATTAGATGTTAGCTTACCAGCTCGTTATTTGTAGAACCTTATGCACCTTTATTATTATTCCCCTGGGTTTCGAGTGGAGTTCAGGTTCTCTGATATCCTCTTTATCTGGCTCCAGAATTGACCATAAAGTTGTATTCCCCCTCCCCCCCGCGAAATCTCTTCCTCGACACCCTATGACCGACGCCCAGCTCATCGTTTCCCATTCAGGCTCAGCTTGGGAGTTTGGTGCGCGATATCACCCAACAGTCTTCTCAGCTTATCTTTGACTCGTCGCCTTTCTCTCGGTATATTTGTTGAACAAAAGGCTCTTGATTGATTCGTTCCCAGAGTTCCTTGTCGTAAATTCTTTCTGCTTAGCCATCTGACTTTCAGTATGGAGTGAAGACAGCTATTAGTAGAAATTTCGCAGATTGCTGGAAATGCATTTTGTGACGCGCCAAGGTTCCGGCCTACATAGAAGAACTGACTGACTTCACATTGGTGTTGAAAATCCGAATTTTGTTCTCCATGATGAGTGTGTAGAGGACTTCCAAACTGATTTCAGTGTGATGAAGGCCTGTCTTGCTTTCCCTATAATGGCTGGGATTTTGACATTCTCATCAGTGCTGTCGCTTGTAGTTGAAAGGATACTGTCTAGATAGTGATAGGTGCTTGCCGTTGATGGTTGGTTATCAACACATCCACCATACCTATGTTTACTTGAAGTCATGTCTTTGCTGCTTCTTCTTCTTCTGCCAGTTTGTTGGTCTTCACCTGTAAGTCTTCTAATTTTCTTGATGTTAGATATAAATTGTCCACTAAGTCCATCCACATCTTCTTCAGCTCACTGGCTTCCTGAAGGCTTTCAGCACCCGGCGTCATTCTGTCTCTCTCGTTCTAGGGAAGAATAAGTTAGTTTTTAATATTTTTTGTTCTTTGAAGTCCTTTTTGGTGATTCAATTGATTTTTCGGGTTGGGATTGCATTCCCAACGTTCAACCTTCCCTCTTTTCATGGGCTTGTAAGAGTTAGGCTTGGCTTAACTTAGACCTAAAATAACCACTCTTACAAAACTTCTTCACCGCTTATGACCTTAATCGTACTCTGCCTAACGTGCAAGTACTAACCAACGGAATCAAGGTTAAAAGACTTGAGATGGCAAGTGTGACTGGAACAGAATTGTATTTACACAAAAGAGATATGGAATTTGATTAGAAATAAGAGGTTACACACTTATCTGCAGTCTTGACTGTGGTAGACTCGGAGAGTGCACTGGGTGAAAGCACAACGAGAGAGCGAACCAAGAACGTACAAGAGTTTCACGAATCGAAAGAGGAAGTAGTGCTAAAGGTCAGGTGAGTCCGTTCAAACAAAAGTTCGAAGGTTCAACGTACACTACAGGTTATCCCCCCTTAGAAGGTTGGTGGGATAACAGCAAGCTTCGATATATAAAAGTAGCAAGGTTGTGTACAATAACAGTGAATGAACAAGAAAGTGTGAAGGTAGTAATAAAATAGTTTAAAAAAATATATTGTGAAAGGAAAGAATGAAGGGAAAAAAATTAAGGCAATTTATGGGCACTATGTACATGATTAATGGCGTAAGACGGAATATAAGAAGAAATAACGCTGGTGCCTTGGTGCGATTTCAAGCTTCTGAGTTGTTGTTTTTTTTACATCGTTTATTTATCTTTTTTTATATGTCTGTTTATTTATTTATTTTTTAACGATATACTATTACTGGCTGAATTATGTGGAGGTCTGCTGGTTTACCTCCGTTTCCCAGGTTGTTATAGCGGGAAGGTGAGTCATTATGTCTAAGTTTCATCTTAGACTAATGCTCCATCCTTCCTCATCAACCAAAACTAGTAGTAATACCAAAGGCAATCAATATACCAGCTTATTAGGAGGAACAAAGTAAAAGCAACAAAAAAGAATCGAAGAACAGGTTAAGATTTCAAAATCAGCATAAGGTGTTACCAAAAACTTAGCGAAATAAGTGCTTGGGAACTAGTGTAACATGGAAGTGATACGCCAAATTGAAATAAAACAAGGGAAATTGCTAACGCTGTGAAAACTGATGCAATGTACAGAGAAGTGTGTGTACAACCAATAGTTATGAGTAGGTACAATCACCATTTAAAAAAAAATGTTGCAAGCTGTATAATTAAAGTAATACAAAGTAATTACAAGTACGGGTCACAAAATAAATAAGTGTCATCATGGCACAACCCGAGTGAACATAATAAAGTCTGTAAAAAAATAGATTGAGCAGATTAAAATGTACAGCAGAGAAGTGACACAGTGATGTGCAATAATATGTAACGGTTCATTGAACTATACAGGCTTATGACCAGATTATCGATTCACCGATGGTTGAAGATTTCTCCCCATAGTTCGGTACCTGAAGACATCATGTTTTCCTCTCTGTCGCAGAATCAATAATATACGAAGTTCAGACATTATAACAGATAGATAAGACAATTAACCATAGAAGAATATGAAGCAGAATTTAGGGGGAGGTATTTTGTTGTTCAGTGGTTGGAGGCAATCGGTAGGAAATCATTGATCTAGACTTTGTTGTTTGTTTGTTGGCAGTCATCATGCTGGTCACATCACAAACTTGACTGATACAATTCTGTCTGCATCAGCACCAAGAACTAGACGCATGGCATTAGTGTTCAATCGGAGGTACTTTTCTTAAGTCTATATATTATCAGAGTAATAAGAAATGGCTAATTGCATTTAGTGTGAGTGGCATAGCGGTTAGAACGCTCGCCGACCATGCACATGGTCCGGCCGGTGCATTCCTTTACCTCGCTAAGCCAGAACTAAAGTTAGTGAAGAGGAAAGGTTGGGCATGAGGCTAGCAACCCCATCCTGTAAAAATAAACACTGCTACAGAAACTTCAAGCCTCTAGCTTGAAGCCCTATGTTCCACTGGGGAACGTGAAGGATACAAAATGCATTTGGTGAGGTAACTGTTCCATGCAGGTCAACTCTGATTTACTTTGTCTGTTTCATTAGCACTACAATTGGTTAAGTTGTGTTCAGCCAGCCAGTATTAATAATTTTCACACACACACACACTAAGTGACTCTGATAGTGTTCTACATAAGTCCATCATAGTGTGGCGTGTGCTATATTTAGATGCAGGTTAATAGGAAGTGGCCAAAAATTGAAATCAAAATTTTAAGTCAGTACCTATAGGAATAGAGGTGTTTATTCTTCAAATCTGGATTTAGTTTACATTGTTATCCGGAAATAATCTCATTGGACAACTTTTCGTCCATTTGTTTAACCTTGAGCCAATCGAAAACCAATGGGAACAGTTTATTGTCTACTGACCTAACTGACTTTAAATGTGAAAAATTTAAAAATGTGTAATAATAATAATAATAATAATAAAGTCCGTTATCACTTCTCTTACCTTCTGCCATTACTATGGAGTAATCATATCATCACAGTGGTTACTTAACCCTCATATATATATCCCCCTGAACTTGACTTCTCTCCGTAGATAGACATTAAGCGTTCAATTCAACTCAAATTGTTAGGTTTCCATCATAAAGATTCGGGCGTGTAAAATATACTTCATTCATGCATGGTTGAATAACTCAAACAGAAAAGAAAGTGTTGGCTTGCAGGGATTAGGTTGGTTACAGGATTATTCGTCATGTGTAGATATCAGAAAGGGAAACATTGGAAAACCAGCTGGGGTACTGGACAGCTGTTTTGTCCTAGTTTGGGACTCCCACTAGGGTTGGAACCCAGGACTTTCCAGTCAAAAAGCGAGCTCTTATACCATTCAGCTTCTGATATCAATCCAGGGTGAAACTCGCATAAACAAATCTAATCCTTAAAAACAAAACTCTTGGAAAAAAAACAAAGTTTACCAAGGAAGATAGGTTTAGTGTGATGACGAATTTATGCTTTGAACGCATGAAAGTGGTTTCAGCTTGCTAAGTGCCAGCTAGGGCTTCCACACACTTTAGGATACGCTCCAAACACGTTTTATAGATAAGTTGCAAAGATGCGTGAACGTCAATTGTATGTCCTGTCTCCTCTTTAATATGTTTCGCAATAGAGGAGCCAGGTCATCTGTTCTCACCATTAATGGGTCGTGGGGATTCTGTTTGCTTCTGAAACCATTTAGGAATATGCTATGAAGCCAGCCCTTACATGCAGAGATCGATGAGTTCTCCCTATGTATGTGTGTGTCCACACACATTCAAATTGGTAAAAACAGTGGGATGTGACATCATTTTTCGCATGTTCAAAGAGTTTTGATGGCTTCACATTCTCAGTTATTATGATATTAGCTGCATAAAAAGTCTTTTTTTAATAGCAGCGTTCAGTCTTTATCTAGTTATCAAGCTGCTATGATGCCCCATATAGAGTAGCTTGATGTACACGTCTTTCTTAGCGGTGAGTTGGAGAATGGGTCTTGGTGTTCTGACTACTTTATATCTTCTGATGAACTTGTCTGGATAATTATTATCAACCAGAGTTTGTGTCAACTTTCTTTCTTCCTCATCAAGTGTGTCTTCAGTGCATATTCGTTGGATTCTACTGAAGTGGTAGGTACCTCGCTCACTAAGGCTCTTTTATACCGAACAGGGCAGAAACCGTAATAATTAAGATAGTGTCCTATCCTGTCCAGATAGGTTTTGATATAAATAGATCGATTTTATTGATCCATCAGGCCGTCCGTTGACTGAACAATATATCTAGAAGAGAGATAATATTTATACTAAGTTTATTTCAAAAACAGCAATATTTCTTTATTTCTCATACATTTATTCCCCTTAATGAATTTGAACAAAGCAACAACTACAGTTTTAGCAGAATAAAATGCTACCATCTTTTATTTCGTCGCCTTCTCGTCATCTGCTTACAGGCCACAAACATTATTAAATGTATCTACAAAAACAATTTTAACATACTTGCACAGAGTTCATTTTAAACAAAAATCAATCGATCAATATACGCATACACTAATTATATATATATGCAATATTAAACACTATTCCGAGCAATAATAATCATACACAATGAAAAGTTTTCAGTATCTCGCATTCGGATGAAAAATATCCAGTTACTAGGTTGGCAAAGAAAGACTGATAACCGCTTCTTTCTGAACGCACAAATCAGGTTTCAGGCGCTTGATGGAAAAGGCTTCAGCAAACTTAAGGAGAATTGAACTCTTTTGCTTATTGATAATTTTGAACGATTTTTCGACGTCCACCTCATGACCCGTGTCAAGAAGATGCTTGTCGATGGCACTGTTTAAAGTATTTCTTCCCTTTAGACGTAAGCTTTTTGGTACATGTTCAGAGAATCGTAGATATGCCCTTCTTCTTTCTGTTCTTCCAATGTAACTGCTCCCACAGATACATGTAAATTTGTATATACAGTTGGAGTTAACATGAGAAGGACATCTGTCTATGTTTGATTGCACCAAAGAGCAAGTTGTTCGATAGACGGGAACGAGCTTAGCTGCAGGATAGGCTATGGCTAGTGATGTGCTCAGCCTTCTGTTGATCATCACTGCAATGTTTTCGCCTTTATAATCAAGCTGAAAGTAGATTGGCTTTTTTCTTACTGTGATTTGTTTTTCATTTGTGACTTCAGATCTTCCATACTTGTTGATGAACCTTTGAGGGTACCCATTGCTCTTTCTTTCTTTCTCTTTTTTAGACTAATCTGAACAATGGTTGTGGTCCAACAGAATTTTCAACTGCTATGCTAGCTGTAGGCACAATACTTATTGTTCTGCTTACACTGTTTAAATTAGTCAGTAATCCTGAAGTACAATATCGTTTTGAATATGGTTATTGGCCATCAGGTTGTTGTTCTCTAGTCGCCTATGATAAACCTGGTTTTTCATGGGATGTTTAACACCTTATACATTTAAAAGAAAATTTCTCTTTTTGTATATTTATCATATTTATTGCGTAAAATTTCTATTTTCCTTCTTTTTACACACTTTACTTTATTGTTGTGTCTTTGAAGCGGACAGTGATATTCTTAGCAGGCTATAATATATGCTTTGAAATAATGACTATGATATGTATGTAGCATTTTCCCGGTTATAAAAAAACATTTACGATAATTCAGTCTCTGTCTCTCTCATTTCTGACTTTATATCAGGACTATTAATACATGTGTAAAACTTGGGCACTGTGGTAGTGGCGTCGGTGGCACAGTGGTTAGGACTCTCGTCGACCATGCACATGGTCCGGGGTTCGATCCCCTGCCGACGCACACCCGATATCTGTGGTCGGCCTGCAAAATTCGGGCTACCGATATCACATGCTGAAAATTCCATACTTGTACTGAAAATACGGTGTGGCATCAAGCTGTAATCAAAAAAAAAATAATTCCATATTAGTTTGTCTATTAGATATATCACACAGTGAAACAGTATTATTTACTGGATGACATGGTTTCGAACAAAACCCACACAATCAAACAGATATTTGGACTTCCAATCATCCCATCCAATGTCAGTAAAAATAGGATTGGTGAAATGTTTAAGTGACAGAGCACAAAAGCCAAGTATTACCAAAGAAAATCTAAAACAGGAACTGATACACATAAAAGAAGCCTTGAAACTTAATAATTACCCGGATAAATTAGTCAGGAAATATGTGAGGAAATGTAAAAATAAAATAAATAATGATAGTAGCGATAGTGATAATAACAATAATAATGATAATAATAATAGTGGTAATAATAATAATATTAGTGACGACAACAATAATAAGAAATCTAAATCATCAGTAGTCATTCCATACAAGGAAGGAACCTTGGAAACCTTACGCAGAATTCTTAACAAGGCAGGAATACAAGTGGCTGGCATTCAAACCCACAAACTCAATTAGAAACAAGCTTTGTCGGTTAAAGGATCCTGTAGAGCCTTTAAAACAAAACAAAACAATTTAGTTTATCTAATACCCTGCCAGAATGATTGTCAGGTCAAATACATAGGTCAAACTAGTAGAACAGGGACAGTCAGACTAGCTGAACATAAAAACTTAGCAAAATCTAGATTGGTTGATCCAAATAAGATAAGAAATCTAGAGAATAGTTCAGCTATAGCACTACATGCAGTTACAAACAACCATACAATAGGATGGGATAGGATGACAGTTTTAAAATCTAATGATCACAGGGTGGAGGGAGAGATTGATAACAGAAGCTTTGTTTATCGAATCAACTGAAGAGAATACATGTAATAGGAATGATTCATCACCTGTCCAGTAGGATATCTGGAAAATTCTACTACCCCAACGATGACAAATAGGAGAGAAGAAAGAAAACTATAAAACTCAAGTTTCGAAGTCGTGTGATTATAATTGATGAAATGATTATGAACAATAAATTTTGTTCGAAACTTTGTCATCCAGTAAATAATACTGTTTCACTGTGTGATATATCTAATAAACAAACTAATATGGAATTTATATCAGGACTATTAAATGTTGGTTTGAAGGGATCTAATTAACTGTAGGTTTGATTCCGAGCTGATGTCAGTTACTGGTCTATAACACTGGCTCATGGTTGAACTGTATATATATATATATATATATATATATATATTATATCACATAGTATACATATTGGATAATAGGAAATTTTTTACGAGTTGACGACGAATTGATATCAGTCAGAGAACCATTGAAAACTCTCTAACTGATATCAATCCGTGATCAACTCGTAAAAACAAAACTGATCCTTACAAACCAACTCTTGAAAATTAATCTGGTACTCGCTAGTGACTTGCTACAGGATGGAGTTTCCTGGAGTTCTAGTGAGAAGTCGTGATCAGTGAGGTCCATCCAGATGTCACGTGTGAGGATGGATGACCCACCGACGACATTGTTTGGTGGTCGCGATGAATCATGAATTTATAGAAGTTAGAATTCATGGGCTGGCCATTGAATCGGGTGGGTTCCAGTGGCTGAATGGTATACGAGCTAGCTTGCCTTGTAACCGGAAGGTTTTGGTTTCGAACCATGGTGGTGGGTGCGTACTGGGGATGATTCCCAGACTAGGATGAAACAGCTGTCCAGTACTCCCTGTTACTGGTTTCAATGGTTCTCTAACTTATGTCAGTCCGTGATCAACTCGTAGAAACAAAACCTATCCTTACAAACCAACTATAGAAAATAATAAGAATTATTAAAAAGACGGTTGCAGCGAAGAAATTTTTCTTTTCGACGATGTCATCAACTAGACTGTACATTCATGTATTTGTTATAGTCAAAAGGGATGGGAAAGTTCCAGAATTATTTCCAGTCAATGGTTAAATTAATAAAATTACAAAGTGTAATAACCAGAATGATCGGTTAGAAAAGACGTAGTAAGATCATAATTACTGAAAACCTTGATTGTTTGTACAATTATAGATTAAAGGAGTAGTGTGGTGGTGTGATAGAGACAATGTGTTCCAACGGAATATAATTCTCACATATTCCCACCCTTCAATGCTGCACTAGCCACAGAATACTATGTATATTTAAACATGTCGTTTAATGTTAACCCAAAATCACACACCCAGTGATTGGTTAAAGAATATAAACTGTAGTAATATGTAAACAGCGGTTTGATTAATGAAAATATATATACCTTGGCTTCGATGTCTTGTCTTATGCTGTTACAGTAGTAATAACAAAATAGGTAGGAAGTTCGGATATATATTTTAGAAAAAAACGCTCTCAGGAACACTATCCAGCATAGTTAGCAAAAGGAGAACTCAAGGGTGTATACACTTCGGTAACAGAACACCTGGTGAATTCAGGACATTCAGCTCCATTCAAAAAGTCCTTTTCAAATTCATTTACAAGATTCTAACAAAACCTATCAAAAAGGAGTGAGGTCAAGGCATCTAGGAATAGCTGAGGTACTGGTGATCTCAAAATCTCATGCCCACTCTGTGTGTGTTCAAAAGAAAGACATCCAACCATTGTCTCTCTCATGGCCATCATGAAAAGTCAGCGTAGTTGATGACTTCATCGATAAGGAAATTTTCTTTGTAGCAACCTCATTTTTAAATATACATATACATATATATGCGACTGTATAGTTTGAAAACAAAATTCTTTGAAAAGAGTATCTTCTGTGAATATTGTCTTCTCGCTTCTGTCAATCAAGTCTGCAATACCTCTTCCTTTTATGCATAAGTAACCATTATATGAAAACAATTAGTCCCTTTGATAAATTTGAATAAGGCATTTAGAAGACCACCACCTACAACGCGCCCAACAGTACCAACAACGGAGACAGAGCTATCAGTGAACACCAACCCCCCGACGAAATCAGAAGTCCTGAAGGCAATCAAGATGCTAAAAGATGGAAAAGCAGCAGGACCAGATGGAATCCCAGCAGAAGCACTGAAAATGGACCCAGAAACAACAGCGGACTTGATGACGCCACTATTGGAGAAGGTGTGGAAAGAAGGCAAAGTACCCGAGGATTGAAAGAAAGGATAATTATTCAAACTGCCAAAAAAAGGAGACTTGGGTCAATGCAAGAACTGGAGCGGAATTATGCTCCTGTCCATCCCAAGCAAAATACTAAGCAGCATCATCCTGGAGAGAATCAAGCATGCCCTGGATGAAAGACTTCGACCGGAACAGGCTGGATTCAGGAGAAACAAGTCATGTATTGATCAGATCGCCACATTACGGATCATCATTGAACAAAGCTTGGAATGGCAGTCACCTCTCTATCTCAACTTCGTCGACTCTGAAAAGGCCTTTGATAGCGTCGATCGAGAGTTGCTTTGGCAACTAGTTCGGTACTATGGGATGCCGCCAACAATTATACATCTCATTCAACAGCTGTGCGATAATGCTGCATGACAAGTAATCCACAACGTGAAACTTACGGAATCCTTCGAAGTGAGGACAGGAGTTAGACAATGCCGGCTGACTGGCTGCCTACTATCTCCAAAGATCAGTTTCCTGATTGTGGTGGACTGGATAATGCAACAGACAGTGAGCAACGAGGAGACAGGTATAAAATGGATCCACACTAAAAAACTTGGAAGATCTGGACTTCACTGATGATATGTGTCTGATTTCCCACAAACTGGAAGATATGCCAATGAAAAGCAACAAGTTGGCACAAGAAGCATCAAAGATAGGAGGGACTTCAGGTGAACATAAAGAAAACAGAGGTGATGTAGATTTCTGTGCAATACCATCAGCAGCAACGACAATAGACAACGATCAGCATAAATGGAAGGAACCTGAAAGAAACTACCTCCTTTACCTACTTGGGAAGCATTGTTTCACCTACAGGCGGAACTGACGAGGATATCAAAGCAGCGAGGATCGGGAAGTCAAGACAAGCTTTCATTACTCTCAAGTCTGTGTGGAGGTCAACAACATTCAGCGTCAAAAATAAGATCGGGATTTTCAACTCCAATGTGAAGTCAGTTAGTGCTACTTACTATACGGATCAGAGACTTGGCCAGTGTGTCATAGAGAGCATCTCAAACAAGCTACAGACGTTCATTAACAGTTGTCTTCACTCAATACTCAAGATCAGATGGCCGGCCAGAAAAGATCAGCAACAGAGATCTCTGGCAATGAGCGAACCAACTCAGCAGGAACCGATTGTGAAACGAATAGGCAGGAAGAAATGGAGATGGATTCACCATACTCTGAGGAAACAAACCATCAAGTGACATCACTAGACAAGCCATCTCTCGAGTGGAACCCGAAAGGGAAGTGGCGAGTTGGTCGTCAGTGCAAGGGTGAGGGTGACTTGGAGGAGGTGATGTGAAGAGGAGATGAAAACGTGTGGACAGACCTGGAGCCAGGTGAAAACTCTAGCAGAGAACCGGACGCAATGGAGACGCACGGCTGAACCCCTATGTTCCTCTAGGAATTAAAGGAAACAATAATAATAATAGTTTAGAAGGCAAATTGCGCTAGGTGATATATTCATTTCATAGTTTCTTTACAACCGCTTTACATCTAACATGGTTCACAATAATAATGAAATGAAATGCATGACAATTACTCAGTTATATTAAAACAAAAAGGACATACTATGCTAATGACCAATCATATTTAAA